TACTTATAATAAATAACTTAAAATATAAATAAATTCGTCTCTTTATTTTCTATTTACGTATAATTATTAGGCTATTTTAATAATATATATAATAATTATAAATAGCTTAATTACGCGTTTTCTTACTCTAATAAAGATTAAAGTAAATTACTTATAATAAATATACGTATAAAATTAAGTATTAGCTTTTAAGAATAATTAATTAATTTAATTAAAAGGCTAAGAATCGCTTAAAATGCTAAATGTGGGGTTATGGCAGCAACTGCGAACCTCAGCTAATGTGCCACCGTACGGGTCCCCTGGGGATGGAATATGCATCTCCGCGCAAGTCTACTTCCTTATGCATGGAACGGTTTTCGACACGACCTTGAGAAGGGTAATCAAAACGGCCGACTTTTCCCGACAGCCCTCGTAGACAGGCCGTCACTGCTGACTAGCATATTTGCACCCTGTGGAATGTTGGAGTCGCATCATCTACAGAGGGATAGTTGATCGCGTCGCTTTCTCTCCTCTTCGTCTGAATATAGATTCCAGTCAAAGGAATGTTGCCAACGTTTGTGCGCTTTGACAGTCATGTGGGCATTGTCGTCCTGGAATTCTTGGTCGATAATACATCAAGCAATGAAGCCAGGTCAAACGAACCAAGTTAGGAGTTGGTCGATAGTGGACAATACCAGTCGAAGCGATTTACCGGCTCTTTGCGGAATTGCAAACACAATGATACAGGGCTGCCCGAGAGGCAAGCTATTGAACTACGAAGTTCAGGCTATAGCGACGGGAACTGCCCCGTCTGATCCCGGAATCTTGCAGAGTCGTTGGAGCCCTACTACCCCGGCTCGCTGCAACGATTATTATTAATGAATAGTCTGATATTGGCTTGGAACCTAGTCCAGAGTGTCATACGATCATGAGGCATAACAAACCAATCAACAGGTCAGCACTCTGTTACACAATGTTGCTCGCCATGAGACATTTCAATGCACATAGTCGCCACCATGGCGACTCATTACAGACAGCGCCGCTATCATTGCTGGTCACATTCGCTATAAATACTGTCGTCGCTGTTTTCGCAACATTTGGTTCTTCTACGAATATCCTCCAACACGACCGAGTGCCGCGAAAGTCGTTCCACGACAAACCTTGGGAATAATCATTCCAGCGCGTGTGCACATTATATCGAATCAGGCTATATACATGTACTGCCTACAAAGGTCTATTCGACGTAAGCCAGCTGTGTCAGCCATCCGGGTCCCAGCGCGCTCTGTACAAGCAAGGAGTTTCGCATACACTTGTGGCCAAATGTCTCGTCCACCCAAATTTCCTTTCCAGAGGGCATCAGGCATGGAGCCTCCCGCCGAGTATGCTCGTCTACGGGCTACTGATCCGGTGTCGAGGGTTGAGCTCTTTGACGGGAGTCTCGCTTGGCTAGTAACCAAGTACAAAGATGTGACCTTAGTTGCCACGGATAATAGGCTGTCCAAGGTAAGACGTACAAACACAAACACATTGACAAAATTTGTTACATGGTATGGACAACTAACATGATGCTCAAGGTTAGGACTCGTCCAGGTTTCCCAGAGCTGAGCGCTGGTGGCAAAGAGGCGGCAAAGGCCAAACCGACTTTTGTCGACATGGATCCCCCCGAGCACATGAAATATAGGCATGTTAAACGTCCAGTGCACAATTTCCACTGTCTAATACCCTCTTATAGGAGCATGGTGAACTACTTCTTCACCCCTGAGTATATCAAGTCGTTGCAGCCATATATCCAGAAGACGGTGGATGACCTCCTCGATGCGCTCAAAGCCAAAGGGTGTGCCTCTGGGCCCGTTGACTTGGTCAAGGAATTCGCACTTCCAGTGCCATCATTTGTAATGCGACCCCCACGATAGCGCCGACTTCCACTTTACTAAACATGGTTTTAGATCATCTACAGTATTCTTGGAGTCCCGTTTGAAGACCTTCAGTTTCTCACGGAACAAAATGCTATCCGAACCAATGGCAGTGCATCCGCGAGAGAGGCATCGGCCGCTAGCAAGTATGAGCCATTGGACACGTGAGCAAAGGGGAGATTGGTTGCGACAAGTAGCTAACTGTGCTGTTAGGGGACTTCTCGAGTATCTCGAAGAGCTGGTCGATCTGCGGACTGCGGCCCCGAAGGACGACCTCATCAGCAAGCTGGTAGTGGAGCAAATGATTCCCGGACACATCTCCAAGGCCGATGTTGTTCAGAATGCGTTCCTGCTTCTCGTTGCAGGGAATGCGACCATGGTGAACATGATAGCGCTCGTACGAACAGGTTTTTAGAAGAAAAGCTCGGCAATCGTTCCTGTGACTAACATTCGGCAGGGCGTCGTGACACTTTTCCAGCACCCGGCTCAACTCGCCGAGCTGAAGGCCGATCCATCACTCGCACCTGCATTTGTGGAAGAGCTGTGTCGCTATCACACTGCCTCTGCCATGGCCATTAAGCGCACAGCTATAACGGACATTGAGATCGGGGGAAAGGTAGTAACCCAAAACGCGGGCATAGAGTAGGGGGAAGCTTTAAATATACTGACACGAGGACCCTGTAAACAGCTCATAAAGGCGGGCGAAGGCGTCATCGCGTCGAACCAATCAGCCAATCGAGACGAAGAGATATTTACACGCCCGGACGAGTTCGATATGCACCGGAAGTGGCCGAGCCAAGATCCGCTCGGTTTTGGCTTCGGCGAGCATCGATGCATCGCAGAGGGTCTGGCCAAGGCGGAGCTGACGACCGTGTTCTGTAAGTTTTCCTTCCCAGAAGAACCAATCGCCAAGAGAATATGGCATGGAGGGGTGCTAACAAGTTTACTACTACCAGCGACTCTGTTCCAGCAGCTGCCAAATCTCAAGCTTGCCGTGCCCATTTCTGACATCAAGTATACACCTCTACACAAGGACGTTGGCATCCAAGAATTACCTGTTACATTTTAATCCGACTCACATGGACTACGCTTGAGCTTGTATGAAAGAGTGCAGAAATTATACAGCGCCAAGGAGTATTGTATTTTAAGGGAATGGCTATTGTCGAATTTATAATTGCAACGAAAATGTAGCTCTAAAGGGTAGGAGATGGTCAAATATTAATCTCTCAGCTATTACGAAGTGCCGACTTTAAAAGATTTATGTTCAGCGTGACAGGAAGCCTTCAATTAAAATATCTCTAATAAAGCGAGCTAAACCTGCCCAAGTTACAACTTCCTAACTAGGTAACTTGTAATAATATGGGCATAAGGGCAGTTAAGCGCAACTCGAACAACTGTACATCTACAAAGACATTGAGAGATTCTTAAGAAAGCTTTAATTTAAGCTATTTAGGTTCCAAGGTTGAGCTACTCTCTTATAATAGAGTAATGGGTAGAGTAAAACCTGGAGCTGTTGGTAGGGAAGTGCTGTAGCCCTGTTCCGTGCATAATCTCTGCCCGTCCTCTGGAAAAGTCTCATTTTCCGTGTCACCAGTCGTTGTAGACGCTCACGTACTCCGTGCACGTACTCCATACACACTGTTTTTGGTGAAGGCACAGAGGCGTTAGTTTCTTGCCAGCCGCAAAGAGCACTAGTGCATTTGTAAGTCTGGTGGGAACGATCTGGGCACTCGTCAAAAACCAGTTGACAGTTACCCTGCTCACGAATCCCCGGGAATTAGTTACTGGGTCCCGAACGCAACGGCGCAGATGGCTGAGTCAAGTTGGGCAAGGTAAATAGGGGAAAGTAGTCGGTTGATGAGTGAAAACGGTCAAACCCTTGCTGCATCCAGCAGATTACAACGCTTCCTCTGTCGCAGGAACCAACAGCCCGCCTGTCAAGTCTTGCCAAGAAGGGTAAATGCGCCGACCCGTTTGCCCCGCGGACCAGTGTCACTGCATGTAGTAGATCAATGATGCTGACCAATTAGAGATATTAAATTAAAAGGTCAACTGGTAAGTCACCTTCGAATTTATGTGATAAGAAGAGTATTATTAATTTTATATATATAAGAAGTTACTGTTGTTTAAGAAAGCTAACCCTCATAAGAGATGTACTTATCATCACAGGAAAGTGGAGTAAAAACATGACAGGCACCTGCGCACATTCAAGGGACGGTAACATTTGAACCTGTTGACATATTCGTGTTACAACCGGGCCCTAGTGGCGAATATCGCAGCTTCATCGAAAAACCATGCCGTGCCGGCGTGCAAGCCTTCCCGGTCCCAGTCTCCATGTGCCAAATGCGGACCAGCGAGCATTAAGTTGCCAGGCTCGCTTGCTCGCGTCAAGCAGGGAGCTCAAAGGCCGACCCAACTTCTCCAGCTAACCCGCGCAACCACGGCTTGGCGATGTGAAGCGTGAGACATTGCCACGATCCACGCCATTCGTCGAACAATGTCTGGTCGCCAAATGGGACATACAGAGACATTCAGCTGCGCCCTACGATACAATGTAATAGTTCTGGAGGGAGACGCGACACAGAGGTTTCATCTGTTCCGTCCCGTGCCTTGGCTTCACGCTCGACTGTGCATGTAAAAGCCGCTCCTGCATCCAGAAAAAGGTCCACACCACACGGAAGAGGTTCCCATTCGGGCAGTTTGGCATGTCTCCAGGCCCTTTAGCCTGCAGAAAGTTCCAACAACATGTTGACGCATTCTGCAGGTGAACGATTCTCTGGGCCCGATTCGCCCGGAATCCCTGCGTCTTTGCTTTTTTCCGCGTGTGAATACTACCTGTGCCGTGAATCTGGAACTGCAGCGGGTTCGGGGTTGAGCGAGTCTGGAAACCACTCCTCTACCTCGGGACCAATCTACTTGAGATTTTTTTTTTTTTTTTTTAACCTCCCCATTGCAAAGTCCTCCATGTTTCCATTGTTGTAGATGGATGTATGGGTGACGATGTGGGCATCGTAGCGGTTGCTCTTGTTTTTGCCGTTTTCACCACCTAGAGTCGTCTTCCTCGCACCTTACCTTCCAAATTGTCGCAATTTGGCTTCGGAATAGGCAAAGGTCAAGCTTTCCGAGGCGCAGAATGGTAGCGGTATCTCGGGTATTGGCCGTGCTGGCCTCGGTCCAACTCTCCCGCTCCGCTGATACAAACTCATCGCTGCCTGCGATTGGCGATATGCCAGAATGTGCAGTAAGTGCACGTTGCCCAAAACCGCTTGTATCGTGTGTATGTGGACTGCCTCATAACACTTGTGCGACTTGATACAGATTGACTGCTTGTTCGCAACTGTAAGCCACTCGCCTTGCACGCTGGCAGACCAGACATGTATTTGTGAGAGCAAGACGATCAACGAGGAGATGACAAGCTGCGTCAAAAAGAATTGCACCGTCAAACAAGGTTTGGGTATGTCGCTAATTGCGAGGGCAAAAAGAAAAAAAAAACGATTAAAAGGCTAACCACCGAGATCTGGTAGCCACGATGAACACGACACAGACAACGTGTAATCGACCGATACGGGACAAGGCAGCAAGATACCAAATTGTCAGCAATACGCTCGTCATCATAGCCGCCTTGTTCATCGTCCAACGATTTGCATTCAAATTCTACACGCGCCTTGAGCTGGGCCTCGACGACTGGTGTACTCTGCTCACTCTTGTGGCGGGCATTCCGAGTACCGTTATCAACGCTCATTTCTTAACAGTCAATGGCATTGGCCGGGATATCTGGACTCTGACACCAGAACAAATCACCAACTTTAGCCTGTACTTTTACTTGGACGAAATCATTTACCTGGCCGAAGTGTCGCTTGCCAAGCTCGCGCTGCTCTTCTTCTACATGCGCATCTTCCCGAGCAGAAATGTCCAACGCTTGCTCTGGGGCACCATTGCTTTTGACATTGTCTTTGGGCTGGCATTTGTTCTCGTTGCCGTCTTCCAGTGCAGTCCCGTCAACTACTTCTGGGTCATGTGGGACGGCGAACACAAGGGCCAGTGCCTGAATATCAATGCAATAACCTGGTCAAATGCCATCATAAGCATTTCAATGGATGTTTGGATGCTGGCTATTCCGCTGTGGCAGCTGAGGACTCTCAGGCTAGGATGGAAAAAGAAGGCCGGAGTGGCTGCCATGTTTTCCGTTGGTGCATTGTACGTTTTCCCACAACCTCAAATGCGGTACCGCGTGACGTTTTTTTTTTTTTTTTTTTTTTTTTTTTGGGCCAACTTGTATGTCTTCTTAGTGTAACCGTTGTGAGCATTCTGCGCCTGACATCACTCATCGCCTTCTCCTATAGCACCGAAAATCCAACGTGGGATTTCTTCAATGTTGGTATCTGGTCCGACATTGAGATCAACGTCAGTATGATATGCGTCTGCTTGCCGTCAATCCGACTGCTACTGGTTCGATTGTTTCCTCGGCTCAGAGAGACGACTCAGCAATATTATGCCGACAGAAGAACAGGCGACAAGACGCACAACATGAGAAAGTCTCGGCGAGGCGGCGGCGACTCCCAAAATGGAAGGGATGGCAACGCAGCCGGCGAGGATGGCAATGGGATATGGTACCAGAAATCTTTCACAGTCAAATATGTTGAAACAGACGAGTTGCAACTTGTCTCTATGCGCGACCGAGACAGAGCAAGCGCCAAGTCCGAGTCGTCTTTGAGCTAATGCGTTTTCTTTCCTAGAATAGACACTATAGATTCCGAATATAAACATGCTAGTTTTGTTCCAATTTTCGAGACCACGGTCGTGGCAGACGACTGCTCGGGCACAGGATGCGCTGATGCTGAGGTTTGTCGATGGAAGCTGCGGAACGTTGGGCTTCTCGTCGTGGAGCTGTCGGGAGCTGCCGCGGCTAGTCGGCTGCCTGGACCATCAAGTGCGTCCGCACATTGTGGTCACAGACATATCGTCATTGACACGGGTGGACGCTTTAACTCTAAGCTGTCTGCATGGTAGCATTGGATGTTAGCTTGAAGACACGAACGTCGAAGAGTCGAGACTGGTGGTCGACGCCTGAGGACGGACGCCCAATGGCGGCACCACGTGTGGGCCAGACAGGGACAAGCATTGGACCAAGGTCAACTGCCAGCCGATCGTCCCACATGCATGCACGCGTGGCCGGCACCTGGGGCTTTGGTGAACTGTTCAGCCCAGCGGCTCCAGCCTTCTACAAGTCTTGGCATCACTCAGAGGCTCGACGGCGCATCTGCATTGCGAATCAGCCAAGTGCATTACTATCCGTTGACCCCAACTCCAACGTCTCGTTTGCGTTTGGGTTCACGGCGGCTGCTTGAGCTGAGAGGGCCGTCTGTTTTTCATCTTTGGACATCGTCTTCTGTCCCTTCTTGCAGTCTGCATGTAGCGATAGCTGCCTTCACCACCCCACGCATCTCGACCGACAACTCAGAGAAGCCGTCCAAAACACCACAACAGGTCAACTCGTATGGCCTCTTCGCTGACACTGACTGACGGTGGCGCTTCGCATCACGATTCTACGACCCCTACAATACCATCCAACAACCCAAACGAAAATGGGACAACCCCGTCCTTTCATTCGATGGAGGCGCCGAATCTGCCGGTCAATACAGCCTCGTCACCGCACTTGCCCCAGCAACAAAATATCCTGAAGCACTACAAGCAAGTGAAAAAGACAATTTCGTCACGTTTGTTGCGCTTTGTGGAATGGCTCGACTCGGCACAAGGCCGCGGAGTGCTAAAATGCACCTTTGCCTACACACTGGCCAGCTTGGCTACCTTCGTTGGGCCGCTCTCTGACTTCCTGGGCAAGCCAGATGGTAAACATGTCGTGGCCACCATCACTGTGTACTTCCATGCTGCAAGGTCCGCCGGTTCTATGATAGAGGCTATCCTGATCGCCATTATTGCCGTCGCCTACGCCGAAATTGTCTCGATTCTTTCCATGGTGGTCTCAGTCTTGTTTGGAGCCCAGATGGGCCTGGTGACTCTTGCCCATGCCTTGGTGGTGATTGTCTTCATAGGAGGTGGCTTTGGCTTCATGGGATGGGTCAAGCAACGAATGAATAATCCTCTTGTCAATGTCGGCAGTACACTGGCTTCCATCGCGATTATTTCTGTCGTCACCAAAGAGAATGCCGTCGTGTACAACATCTTTTCCAACCAAAAGATAGCCCAGGTTCTCAAAATGCTTGTAATGGGTATCACAAGCGCGGCTGCAGTCAACTTACTCATTTGGCCAGTGTCGGCGAGAACGCAGCTGCGGGAATCGATGGTGAAGGCGTCGGTAGCACTTGGCGACGTGCTGACCGCTGTTAACTCGAGCTTCCTTCGAGGTGATGCCTGGCACGACCACCCGAACGATATTTCCAAAGCATCATCCGCTTACAAACAAACACACGCCACAGTTGTCAAGAATCTGAGAGAATCGAAATTCGAGCAGTACCTACTCGGCCGCGAGAAAGTCTACGCCGTCGAGCGATCAATCGTCCAAGCAATGGAGACACTGGCCCAATCCATCGGGGGCCTTAGGAGTGCAGCAAAAACGCAACAGACGCTCCTCAACAGCAACCTCGCTGATCCTTCGCATGTTGCGTCAGATCTCTTTGAGACATTTACCGACATGATTCGACCGTCAATGCAAGACATGACGGAGACGCTCTGCCTCGTTCTTCAGGAGCCCGTGTTCGGCGGCCCACCCGAGTATGAAGTACACATCAACGAAGGCTTTCGCTCGGCTTTGACAGTGTCGTTGGCCACATTCACAAGCTCGAGAGTTGATGCCTTGCAACACGTCTACGATTTAGTAACACGCCATACTGGTTCCAACCGGAGCCCCAATAACGTCGCTTTGGAGGAAATGGCAGCAGCTTGTGGGCATTTTAGCTTCAGTCTCCAGTCCTTTGGCGAGGAGATGCAAAAGTACTTGGACATGCTAGAAGATTTAAGATATGTCACCGACCATTCCAAGCGAAGTTGGAGGTGGCTGGTGTGGTGGAGGGCCGACACGCCTCGGAGCTACAGCATGTCCGCTCCTCCCTTCGAGTCGTCCGACTCTGAGAACCTCATCAAACCCATTAAGAAATCATCGATGCCCAAGGGAATACCCCAGTCAATGTTGCAGCGGAGGGACACGTATAGTTGGCAGGCATCTCCCGATGAGAATAAATGGCTCGCTAGGATGTCGCGAATGGTGCTGAGAACGTTGAGAAAGGTGGCCCGGGACGACAGTAAGTTTCTGCGCCAAAGCAGGTGACTGTCTATAAGCTAACGGAACATTAGTTTTGTTTGGGATCAAAGTCGGGATTGGAGCATCGTTGTGGGCAATGTTTGCCTTCTTGGATGCCACGCGGCCCGCGTATAATCATTACCGTGGGGAATGGGGCCTGCTGTCTTTCATGATTGTCTGTTCCATGACTGTGGGAGCTTCCAACACAACGGGCTGGTCCAGATTTGTCGGCACTTTTCTCGGCGCGGCCTTCTCCATCATCAATTGGAATCTGAGCCAGGGGAACGCTGTTGTTCTCGCCATTCTGGGGTGGGCTGTCAGCTTTTTCAATTTCTATCTCATCGTAGCACGTGGCCAAGCGCCGTTGGGAAGAATGACCATCTTGGCTTACAATGTCTCGACCCTGTACGCATACAGCCTAAGCCAGAAAGTGGACGACGCGGATGACGACGAGGGCGGAGTACACCCGCTCATCATGGAAATTGTCAAGCACCGAGCGATTTCTGTTACAACCGGCATTCTCTGGGGCTTAATTGTGTGTCGTGTCATCTGGCCCATATCTGCTCGGAGGAAGTTTAAGGAAGGCATATCGGTTCTGCTCCTTCAGATGGGACTGATTTGGAGACGAGGGCCTCTAGCAATCCTATTACGTAGCGACTGCTCCCAGAGCTATCTCAAATCTGGCGAGCAGGCTGCCCTGCAACGATATGCAGACCGCCTTGAAAGCCTCCGCCAGTCCGCCGCCTCTGAGTTCGAACTACGGGGTCCATTTCCATTTCAAGCGAATGGACGAATCATGCAGAGCGCCAGCAGGATTCTGGACAGCTTTTTTGCCATGAGTCTGGTGACACAGTCGAGAGGGAGATTGACACGGGGCGAGAGGGCTTTGCTCGAAGTCACAGCTGAAGAGCGAGCGGTTCTTTGCGACCGCATCTGCCACATCTTTCAGGTTCTGGCCAGCTCGATGATGCTGGAGTATCCACTGACGGACGCGTTACCGAATATACTCACAACTCGCGACCGCCTGCTGAGCAAAATCTCTCGATTCAGAGAGGAGAACATGGCAGCTTTGCGGGCCGACATAGACCGGGCCCGAACGGGTAGTAGTAACGGTACCAGCGTCCCTTATGGGGAGAATGAGCCTGGTGCTGTCGTTTCCGAGAGCGACTATGCTTTGCTCTATGCATACGTGCTTGTTACGGGACAAGTTGCAGACGAGCTAAGAATTGCGGCCGCGGAGATAGAGAGTTTGTTTGGGATTTTAAGTGGCGACTTGACGCTACTAGAATAAGTCCACATGACGATGGCTGTATTACTGAATGACCAATAGGTATATACATACAAATGAAAAAAAAAATGAAAAAAATGCCGCAAAGTGACAGAGGATGCCGTCTCGCCCAGGTGAAGGCGTGCCTGCCCGCCCCTCTCGATTCCGTCGCACAAACGCACCATCATCTACCCTCTACCTCAACTTTGGGAGATTCTGGTATGGGCACGCTCATGTCCTCGCTGTCTACTTCAATACTGGTCCTCAAGGGAGATGGAATAGGCAGACTGCTCGCAAACGGGCACTGGCTCTTCTTGGGTTCATCGGAGTGGGTGGGCGTTGGCAGTCCCGCGCTGGCGTCGGCCATGAGCTTGTCGTCCAAAATCTTCTTGCCATGCAAATATCCCTCCTTCTCGATAAGCACGTCCGACTCCAACAGGCCGAATTCATCGGCCTCTCTGACGTGCCATTTGGCCATGAAGTCGTTTTGGATCCAAATGACCTTGTTCAGAGCCTTGACCAGCGCAATCTTGCGGTACATGTGGAGCCGCGGGTGCGACAAGATGGCCTCGGTCATGATGTCCTGGATGAAGCCTAGACATGTGCCGAGGTGAACGTATTCGATGTGCAGCGGATGCTTTCTGCCGAGTCCAACATGCATCATGCTGCCCGTGTCCGGTCAGCCAACAACCTCTGTTGTGCGACAGCTCCTTCTTTTCAAAGAGACTACTTACCCAACCTTGTCCAAGTACTCCCAGAATTCCATCTTGCTTGGATCCGAGCATAGCTTGTTGAGGTATGCGCGCAAAAACATCTTTCGGTGTACGATTTGGGGACTATCCTCGTGGAGGGTTTCGCCGACCTCCCCGCCCTGCGTTGTATTCTTGGTTGTGAAGGCTCTTGCGGTGATGTCGTACTGTAGAAGCTTGCGGTAGACAATGTTGACGACGGCCGGGACCAGGGCCTTGATGTATTTTGCGCCCGAGATGAGCGCTTCAATGTCATCTATCGTGCAGAGTCAGTGTGCTTTGTTCCCTTGTTGATGAGCTGGCCCCCCTGGCTATGCAGGCCAACGTACTGCTTGAGAAGTCCAAGAAGGAATGCAGATATTGGATACGGGCTTCCAGATTGGTGTAGAGATCCTCTCTGTCGATGTGCTTCATCGGCACCGGCGAAGCCATGCTGAGAGACTTGGTTACGGCGATGGAGGGTGTTTTGTTGTCGCTGTCGTAGGGATCGGGCTGTCCGCTGTCGCCGTTGTATACTGAGGCTTACCAAGAGTCAAGTTGGAATTTAAGTCGAGGCACTGGGGTGTGTTGTTGCCTTGGGGTCGGCCGCGACTGAGCTCCGCGGTATATAATACCAGCCACTTGACGCGCACTCATTGCATGACCTACACGATGACGCCTTTTGCCACTTTTTTGCGCCCGTCTCCCCCGTGATCAAAGCAAGGTTTGGCCCTGAGGCTCTAAAAAAAAACAGCAGATGGTGGTGTGATTGTGGGGGATTTCGCATCCTGGCCCAACATGCTTGGTGCCGGTTCATTCTCTGGCGGGACGAAACGCGGTTAGCACGAGCCACGACCACGAAGTTTACGGTGAATGCAGCATCTGCTATTACTAAGGGTTTCCTGGATTTGCTACTCCTCATTGCTAGATTCATCCCCTTTTTGCTCTCTGCCTCGCAAAGTTTCTCGCCATCTCGGCTGCAGGACACGTCGCGGGTTGCGCAAAGTGGGTGGAGGAGCAATAGACAGACAGGGCTGACGTTTAATGCCGGGCATCCCTGCAATTGGCCTTCGCGGACGATGCCGGGGATGAATTGACACGCACATCATACGACGTCGGGAGCCAACCCTGGCCAAGTGTTTAGTCAGATGCTCTCGTACCCCCGGTTGCGTCCGGCAAACTGAGCCCGCTGGACATAGATATCCCGTGGCAAAAATATGCAAGACATGAGTGCCCCTGTTCCCGTCGCGTGCAATTCCGGTGCTTGTGTATGGGTGGATTTTTTGATCTCTTTTAGTTAGGTGTTGTTTTGGCGTGTGGTGAAAGACGCCGTCTTGACGCGGTTGTATCAATTGATACTTGCGTACTCGGCCGGGATGCCAACCCATGTGGCGTCCCGGGTGCGTCCCGGAGCAGCTCTGCGAAACATCCATGAAAGGGCAATAAGAAACCATGACATCATTGCCGTGGGTGCTGTGCAATAGAGTAGAAAACGACCCCGTGTCCCGTCGTTGACTGTATGTCTGGACGTGCCGACGCCTTGGAGCCCGGGAACGACGCGTCAGGGTGTCATTCTCTACCTCCAACAGTCCCCTTGTCCGCCGCAAGATGAGATTCATGTTATAATCTTTCCGCTGCCCTTTTCTCTGCATGTGTTGGCTCTTGTTTATCCGCGTGATGCACGACGCGCGTCAACAGGGCTTGTGAGTCAGCATCGCACTAGAAAAAGCTCTTGGCGCAACTCCAAAAAAAAAAAAAAGGAAAGAAAAAAAGGTTAAAAATAAGGTCCGTATTTAAAAAATCTTGTAGTCTTGAAGGTTTTCTGCTAGGGATGATTGCGCATTGTGGGACGAATAGGTAATGCCGGACACGAGGCGGCGTGTCATGGTCAAAAAGTGTATTGCCTAGAGGCGGAGCTAAAAGAGTCGGCATTATTAGCATAGCAACATACAACTATGGATGAGTCTATTCACTGACATTGTGCCATGTGGGCCTTCAAGGACTCTCGTTCGTGTTACCACGGATGCGAAAAGAAATGCTGGCCGTATCTCATAATACACGCAGTTGCATGCGATGCCCAGCTTTGGCAGGCCGCAATAAACAGTAGAGATGTGTGACGACTCTTCACAACTCTTAGACGGTCGAGAGACACGTCTCCCAATGTGGTGATGGTGCCTTGCACGACGCCGCACGCCAACCCAAGCCACGCACACCATTCAAGGCCATGGTAACAAGAGAGTTTGCCCATGAGTAGCAAACACAGTAGGGCGTTTGGAGAATGTACATGGAAACAGGCACGAAACTGCAAGCTACAGCGTGTTAATGTACGAGTATCTTGTATTTCAAAAATGACCCAAGCCGTGTCTAGCGTAGTCAAGCGCGTAGCTCGGGCGACGTCTAAACCGGCATGCCGATTCCCATCTATGTTTCGGACTCTAAGTAGACACAAGAACTTTGTCAAGGGGAAACTTTGCTAAAAGTGATGGAAGAATTTTGCCCGGGTGTATAAATGGACACGTACCACTGCGAGGGTGGTTTTCTTCATGGCCTCGTGGCCGGGAGGAATTCTTTGCAAGACTCAGTCAAGCGCCGACTTTGCTGCAATGCGTCTCTCATCTCTCATCTCAACCGCTATTGCGGCACACGCCGCCCTTGCAGCGGCCACAGACACAAACACAACAAGCTCAAGCTCGGATGCTCTCCCTCCCCTTCCCACTCGCCCTCCCGAGCTGACAAAACCCACACACTTTGCCGTCATTGATGGTCCTGCTGTCACTTTCGAGTTCTCAACTCCCCAGCCCCATCCGAAGAACTGGATTGGCATCTGGCATGATTACTACGGCGGCCCCGAAAACAACACTTGGATTCAGGATCAGCTGACGTGGGCTTGGGCAGAAGGGACCCATGGTTCCGCACAGGTCGACATTTCTGATCTCCCGCCTGGCCGATACCTGGCCTATTTCCTGGGCGAGAGAAGCTACAAGTGGCTGGCTCAACCAGTCGAAGTGTTCATCTCCCGCGCTGACTCTATGCGGTTCATACCAGACGACTTCACCACCCATAATGGGCGCGTTGGGGATAGCTTCAGCGCCGATATAAGCGGGCTTCTCACCAACGTCAAAAACGGCAACATCACCTACGCGGTGATTCCCCCCAGCAATGCGGACTGGGTATCCATCTCGAGCAAGGGCGTCATAGGGGGCGTGCCCAAGCACTCTGGACTCAGCAAGTTCTCCATCAGGGCAACCAGCGCCGACAACAACACCGCCGTCCTGCCCGTGGCCGTCCCCGTGGCCCGGCGCCACAAGCCTCTGGTTCGGAGCATCAGGGTCCTGACGCTCAATCTCTGGCTAGGCGGCAGGAACGTCATCGACTACCACAACAAGCAGGTCTCGTTCCTGGCCTCGCAAGACGTCGACGTTGTCGCTCTGCAAGAGAGCTACTTCCACGACGGCCTCCGTCTTGCCAAGGCCCTGGGCTGGAACGCCTGGCAGAGCAAGGACGTCTCCATCCTCTCCCGGTACCCGATCGGCCGGGTGTACCGCGAGATCGAGGCCGGGGGCACCGTCCGCATCGACCTCGACGGCAGCGACCGGCAGCTCCTCGTGTGGAACGTCCACCTCAACAATGCCCCCTACGGGCCGTACGACCTGTGCTTCACCAACTACAGCACGAACTACATCCAGCGGCGCGAGGAGTGGGCGCGCCGCGTCCAGCAAGTCTACGAGATTGTGCACCGGCTCAAGGAATACAAGGTCCGCAAGCCAGAGTTTCAGGAGCTCCCCCAGATCCTGGCCGGCGACTTCAGCTCCCCCTCCCACCTCGACTACAACAAGAAGACGCGCGACTTGCACTGCAAGGGCAGGGAGGACCCCTTTCCCTGGCCCGTCTCGCGGCGTACTGTGCTCGACGGCAAGTGGACAGACTCGTTTCGAGAGGTGTACCGCAACGCTTGGAAGGTCCCGGGCAACACTTGGTCGCCTATCCGCAAGGTCAACGGCGACAGGCCCGAGCCCATGGATCGGATCGATTTCATTTACCACAAGAAATTGAAGACGCTCCACTCCGACGTCGTCGTCGTCGGCGACCCGAAGCCGGAGCCGTACCATGCAGATAACGAGTGGACGTCGGACCATGCTGCGGTTCTAAGTGAATTCAAGTTGCCCAAATGAGCAAGCCCGGTCGGGGCGGTCGAGGGAAAGGGTATAAAGAGTGGTGGCGAATGATGGAATTTGTTTTGTCTAGTATTTGTGTACTTTTGAAAAAAAAAAAAAAAAAAAAAAAAAAAAAAAAAAAAAAAAAAAAAAAAAAAAAAAAAAAAAAAAAAAAAAAAAAAAAAAAAAAAAAAAATCATTGCACAAGCACAAGCATGTAGTTTATGACAGTGTATGCGTGCGATGAGCACAATGGTCGCACGGGCTGTCATGCCTAGGTTTCGGACAGCAATACTTCCACCTTTTCTTTTTTTTCATAAATACTACTCGTGTCATTATTTCGTGTTGGTAAAGCGCTGCAGACTATTCTTTTAGCCGGTTCAAGTGGCCATGTAACTTTGAGGCCTGGTATGATGACTACACACGCAAACGGAAGAGGAGCTTTTTTTCTTTATTTCCTTTACAGCCACGAAAGTCACGAGGCCAATCGGAATGATACAGAAATACAGTTTACTAGAAGCAGCTCGTGGTTGCACGTATTCATCGTTGCGACGCAGCCATAGGTAGCCCAGAGCCAATCGCTGGCCTGATCGACTGTGCCTCTGAATATAAAACAGCGGAAATGGCGTTTTTGCTCGAATCGGGCGTCTTGTGCTGCTGCTGCCGCTTAAAGATGTTGAGTTTTAAAGCCGGGAATAACCACAACTACGTATCGCGTTTGCAATACTTGACCACTTGAAATGTGGATATCGCCGATCTAGTCCAATTTGATTAGTAGCCCTGCTTTCAGCCTTTTCATTATGGATTCGTACGCAATCGGCCGAGGATGAGTCCAGCGACATATTTTGTGGCGTCACACTTTCTTGCGACAGTTGTTCATTCTCACTAACGCGAGCGTTAGTCTGGTCTCGACATGGCCATCAGGCGGGGGAGTGAAGTCGGAGACGTCGGCCTAGAAAAAGGACCCCAGTCCCCGAGCCATGCCGTTGTAAAAGTCTCGTCGTTGCTGCCCTCGAATCAACGGTTCATTTCCGACGCAAAATATCGCTCCGCATATGCAAGATGAAGCCGTGAAATCGCTTGTTTCACAGGTGGCTGACTTACGTCTTGACAATTTCCTGCTCCGGACCATCCTTGCCCGCCGGGAATAGATGCAAGGGAGTATTTTGACTCTTGCTGTCATGAGTAAAGCTTGTCGTACAATGGAGCGGCCACGGAAATCGCAATCTTCGCCTGCCCTCATCATCGTCCTGACACTGTTGGGTACCATTACGCTGCTACATCTCCTCACCGTCTTTGAGTTTTTTCACCAAGCCGACACCCTACCAACCGATGCCGCACTCCCTCGCCCAATCTACGCAGTTGCACACCGCGTGCTGACGACACAACAAGTCGGCGAGGCGCTACGTCAGGGCGCGAATGCGCTCGAGATTGATGTCACGGCCTGGAAGGAAGGGTGGTTCGGGGACCATGACGGGGTTTGGGAAAATGTAGGCGATGCCGTCGAGGAGCTCTTTCGGGCCGCTGCCGAGGCCCGGGAGACTGGGAGCAACCTGACCTTTGTCTGGCTGGATATCAAAGACCCAAACTGGTGCGATCCACAGGACGAGGACTGGCGACACTGCTCGGTTGCCGCTCTGCAGGAACAAGCACGCCAAATCTTGGAACCGGCTGGTGTTCGTGTGTTGTACGGCTTTGCGGACCAGAACGTTTGGGGCGTAGGATACGACTTTGTCTCCCGCCACATGAACAAGAATGAAGCTCTCAATTTGGACGGCAAGGGAAAAGACCTCGAAGAGTATTTTCGAACCAGCAACGTGACGGACGTTACACGACGAGTCCTGTCGTACGGGGCTTCTTCTGTAACGTGGGAATTTGGAAACTGCTATGAAGAGGAATATTACACCTGCACGGTTCTTCGCCAGGCTCGTGAGTCGGGAAACTTTGGGCGCGTCTTTGCCTGGACGCTGCATCAAGGGGAAAAAAGAAGCGTGCTTGACTTTTTGTTTGGAAATGCCGGCATTGATGGAATTATATACGGGCCCGAGAATGTCCCGTTTCGAGATGATTTAGATACTCGCGCGGTTTATCAAGACATCAGAGAATGGGTGGACAGAAATAGCCATGGGCGATATTGGGCAACGGCCAATGACAGTCCGTGGTAAGCGCCTGGGTATCTTGTTAGCTATATGAAAAAATAAAGCCGTACGTCGTGTTGAGGCTGCGGGCTCCATAACTCTCTAGTGGATTTGATGACGAAAAAAGACATGGTCTTCACCGCAAAATATGCCTCCATTCAGGGGATCGTGGCATTAATCTCTGGAGGACAATTTGAGAGGAGCATATGAATAGCAAAGCAACTACTTCGTGCCGCTGTTGATATGACTAACCAAACTCCCTTTTTAGTCTGTCGTCAATTACCCAAATATGACTGTTAAAAAGAATCATGACGCATTAAACACGCCCTGGAATACTTTCGGTCAGAGTGCACGCGACTAGCCAAGCATGGCTCCATGTTGAAGCACAGTGTACATACAATGAAGGTCCACATCCACAGTTTCAAGTTGAAATGGTCAAGATGAGTAATATTCCGTAGTTTGTTGGGCCTGTTGCTAGCAAGAAAAGGGGCAGGCATGTTGGAAATTGTGGTTAGTTGTTCTGCTGCCCGTGTGATATATAGAAGAAACTTTGATATCTATACTTGCCGTTATCTCTGCAAAAGCTAATTATAGATGGTATGTTCAAGTTGACTAGCTGTTAGAGATATTATCAACTTGAATTGACTTGTACGTGACTTGAGAAAGTAGCCGCCCACAGGTGGCTCCAATTCCACTCTGCCCGTGTCAATACACGTACTTGCTTGAAATGGAATGAAGGCTCTCTGGCTCTTTATAATCTCCATGTTTATATAGCTCTTGTGATTAAGAGAGGTTACATTCGTGTCTTGCCCGAGGTGCTAGAACTATATCGCGTTCTGTGTAGTACTTTGGTGAGAGGGGTATTGCTGAGCCCCGAGAGAGGCTTGGGAAACAAGAATCTACATGAGGGCTAGTTTTACGCTACTCTGACTGATGTACCCGATATCCTCATGGGGTTGATGAGTTAGTATTCTAAAACTATATCTCAGCAAAGAAGAGATAAGGGTAAGAATGCGATTTTAAAATAAAAGTTGGCGCTATAATCTATGAAAGACTGCTTTACTAGTCTAGCTTATCTATTTAGTAAGAAGGGTAGAGCTGCTTCTCAAGGTCCTGCTCGCAAGCGTAGGCAGCCTTGAAGAATCAATACTAGTAATGCTCTCGCCAGTCGCCAAGATAGCAACCAGTCTGTTGAATCACGGAGCCTGCGCGCTTCCCACATTCGTTGGCAACTAGGGGGACAAAATTCCCCGAATGCCAAGGGGGCTCTTCTACTTGGCTTCCATTTTTGCCCCACTGGTCATGTGGGAGCCGCGGCTACGAGTTTTCTGTATGCGGCCGGAGAGGGAAGTCGACGTCTTCAATGTTGGTTGCATGTGAGCATCATGGACACAATAAGCTTGGCTGGGGTGAGGCGGGACTTCGAAGTAGACTGCAGCGATCTAGCGCCCGCCAAACGATTGGATATCCCCTACCATGTGGCGGGCCTTTATGTAACGCAACGTTGGCACTGAAAAAAAAAGGCAGCTTTGCATGGTCTTACACACAGGCCTAGAACAGACTCCGTTTGACCAACATGCCGCCTGTTGGGTTGCCGGTAGGACTCTGTAAATCAATAGTTAACCGCCCGGAACCGTAGCTTGCAAGCAGCCAACTACTTTAGGACAAAATCGAACCAGATCATACGCATAAGCCCGGTTTTTGGCCTCGGCCGCAAGGCAACCCAAAACAATGCACCGGCTGGAGGACGTACGACCAACTTCCGGTAACTGCTGTTGCCTGGAGCACGGGATGCCATGGCTTCAAACAGAAAAGGAAACCTTCGTTTGAGTCGAAGTGTGGTTGAATTGAAAAATAGACTGTGCCTCAGAACTATATAAGCCCATGTGCACGTTTGAACCTACTTTCTTTCCTAGCTCCCCAGTCCTCTTCTTATCTTTTATAAAATCCATTCCCACATTCACTAAAGCAACTGTCACCCGTAATGCCTTCCAGCAAATGTAGCCACAAGGGAGAGCCAAGCTCTGGTGGGAAATCCGGTCGGAAAAGGGGCGAAGAGACGAGCGAATCCGACGACGCAAGCGACAATTACTCGACGATATGTCTGACCATATTTGTATTCCGACGAGTGTCTGACATGTATTTCAACCGGCATATTCTTCTGTACTTAACATCTCCTGAAAACCCGGGCTTCCACGAGACGGTTCACGCCCAGCGTTACGATGAAGAAAACCCCTGGGTGGTTGACCGCATACACCACCGGGTTGACTGGATGATGAGCGCTACCTACCTCAGCCATGTTAACGCCGGGGCCGTGCGGGTACAGAGGGGTGAAGAGATATTGCCCGTAAACATCGTTGCAGCCACTCCAGTACGGGGACAGGACAGTGGTTGGAACTGTCAACACTTCATACTCGAGGGTCTTCAGGAGATTGTGAGCCAAGGGCTACAGACAAGCGAGTGGTACGACTTGGTGGAAGAGCAGCTCACAGACTATCTACTTGATGGGACAGTTGCTTGATTCACGTTATTTGATTATGTGTATTAGGAGAGCTTGAGGATGAATTGTACAAGGATGTATTCGAGATCGTAGCGCTTGTCGAAGAGAGATGGAACATGTTCGCCGAGTGTCTCCCAGTCAATGTTATCCAGCCCCCGTAATGCAAAAACATATTCCCAGTACTCTGGATACCACCCTGCAAATTCCCAGTCGAGAAGAGCAACGATACGGCCACCAGATACCAGAATGTTTCGAGCGGCAATATCACCGTGTGTAAACACGATGGGAGATTCGGCACTGAGCTGGGTGGTGATCTGGTGCCAATACATGGACTGGGCCTGCAATCGCTGCGGGGGCCGAACAAGCCAGTCGTGTAATTCGGTCACTGTGCGGAATGGTCCTCCCGAGCGTGTGAAGATGCTCGGGACCACAACGCCCTGGCCGTCGACGCGGCCGAGGTAGATGCCGCCCAGGCGTCGCATCTGCGCGATGTAGTCCCGCAGCTGAGCCAGGATCTCGGAGCGCTGGTCAAGCGTAAGGGCTGGCCATGCCTGCTTCAGCGTCTGACCCTCGATGTATTCCATGGTGATACGGTCCCAGTCGCTGCTAATGACGTCGGGGACGGGGATTGTAGTGTGTTCTTTGATAAAGCGCAGCGCTGCACTCTCGTTGGGATGGTCGTTTACGCCAAGACCATGAGGGGATACGGTATATTTAGTGACAGCATCACCGTGTCGCACGACATAGCGATCATTGCAGTGGTAGATGATGTCGCCTTCGGGGTACGGGGCAGGCTGTCGCTTGGGGGGCGGTGAATCGCCAAAAAGAGCACGCGTGCGATCTTGGAGCATTCTTTGCTGCAGGCGACTGAGCGTCACGGGGCGGAAAGGGGCCTCGGGGTTTGCCATTTTGCAGGCTCCTTGTTTGCCATTTTCGGCCATGTGGTCTGGTGGTTGTGGAAGTTGTGTAGAGGGAAGAAATCCAGACCACATGCCATTCTGTGTCGACATGGGTGTTTAACTTGGCAGGTCAACTGGTAGCACGAGCTCCACCAGACATGGAGGAACATTGAAACGTCAACTGGCCTGGTTCAACGACGTACGACCAATGGCTGTGCGCCAAATCCTGCACGATCATCATTCCAACTGCAATTTCATACTCACTGCCTCAAAGCAAGATTATCTAGCGCAATGTCCTCGCCGTCAGAAACACCAGCATTTGGTGCAACCTGTCCAAGGAGAGCATCTGCATCGTCCTGAGCATCAACTTGTATGGTGCTTGCTCACCACCAACAAGGCATCATCTTGGGTGTACATGCTCATATTCGTCTGGTTCGACATCCGAGTCGCCGGCTGGTGCATCTCGTGGAATCAAGAGAGCAATGTCCTTTTCTAGACGATCCCAGACTACTCCCCCAGCAGCTTCCATGACCAATCTAAGTAACTGGAGCGTCGCATAAGACGTCCACTTCAGTGTGGACCATTTCCACGATATGATCTCAGGAGCAACAAGCCCCCCAAGTACCAGGAGGGTAATTAAACCAGCAAATTGGAAATTCTTGTATTCGGTACTGCGAACCTTTTGCGACGAGCAGATTATTGTTGGCTGTCAGGCTCGAAGGATGGGTTTGCAAATCGGTACTGGTCTAAATCGCAGCGCCCGATAGCTCGTGTCAACGCTGCATGTGGCAGATTCACATCATCACACTGATGTTCAAAGCTCCCAGCCAACTAGCCGAGCCGGAAGGTGGATCGTTGGTGTCGTCGTGTACTAGTACTACTAATCGGCTCCCAGTCTCGTTCACCTGATTGTGTGCCGACCGAGGACTCATTACTAGACTGAACATCCACAATAACCATGTCTTTGTGTCGCCTTCTCCAGCAAGAGGACCTTCTCGAGGAACCTTCGAGATGGACTTGCCGCCACGTCGAGCTCTTCTCTTCATTTGGAAACCCTTTCCCCGCACCGGCACTCCAGCATAACCAGGTGGGAAAAGGCTCTGGCACTGGCTGTGTGAACAGTCTTCTTTCCCGTGGCAACGTTCGTTGGCGAACAACTTTGATAAGAAAGCTTCTTGATTACCCCAGTCACACTTTCGAGTAAGTTTTGGAGCATCCCTGGCCAGTGGTAAACCGACATGCTATTAGGGGAGCTGCGCGTTTTTGTTTCGGTGGTCGCTGCGTTGAGACCTTCGAATGTCTCGTTCTATGCCACGATACCGGACCTACGATGAGAAAACATTTCGACAGCGTATTCATCATCTCCTAATTGATGCGAACGAGCAACACTCAGTCGCAGAGCATGCCAAAACCCATCCAAAGAGTGACAGGAAAACCTCGGATGATCCCATGGTTACCAGGGCGCCGCTGAAAATGGCTTGAGGACAATGGACAAGCTATACTCCACGACGAAGGCAAATCTGTATATAACTATGTATTTACCACATGAGAGCATTTAGAGCTGATTGATTGGTTGGGATGGTCAGCGTGGAGGCCCTGGTGACAGGCGCGGTCAGACTGTGCCGAAAGGTGTTCTAGATGCCTGCAAAGGGGCGACTACATTCTCATCGTCGACGGCCCGAGGGTTTCCTTGTTTCCCCGAGGGTCTGTCTAACCCGAACTGTATACATGCATAGATTCGAACTGGCAGGACGAAAGTCGGCCGAAGGTTTTGACGGGTAGAATACTCTCGCGCGGGGACGCACTTTGCGAATGGATAAATGGAGATTGATGCAAAATTTTTGATCAGGTGTTTCAGAACAAGATGACATATGGGCTGGAGCTTGGACTTCAGTTGGGCTTCATCTCCATGGGTAACCGTGCATCTGTCCTGCAGTTTCCTACGTCATTATGCAGTGGAATAAAACCCTCAGCCCAATTCTTTTCGTCAAGGGTGGCTGTAACAAGTCATTCCTTAACTCATACTCACCCAAGTCTCTGAACATGGGGATATAGTGTCTCTCAATATTAAGCCAATAAATAGCAGCGATTACTTGCCAGTTATGACCTGACTTGGACTTGAAACCTTCGATCAACTGGCGGAATTGTCTGCCGAAGAGATACGCACTGCTTTTACCAAGTATTTGGTGACTGACGAGCCTCTCCAGCTGGATAAGTACAGGATCCTAGGTCCAGAACCAGTGGAGAGCAATTTGCGCCTTTTCATGGAGCAGGCAGGGAACGGCAAGAGGCAGTTTGCAGAAGAAGCGCGGGGGATTTCTACCAAGAAAATGAATTTATGATGAGGTCAACATACTTCTCACTGGCGATTTTGGGGACTCTGCAAGTAGCATTCCGGTATCTGAGCTTGCGAGGGATGACCACAGGCTCTTCACGAAACACTACGTTTTACGAACTTGGAACAACTGTCCATTGAATTCTGGGGCATTGGAGCCAAGAATGGTAGCGACTTTGCAACATGGAGGATATTACGTGCTGTTTCAAATGAAACAGATCATTCAACGATTTGGCCACTGCCTGACAGGTACGAAGGTTTTGCAGGGTTGGCGAGACATTGCTGTCATGTCACCCGTCCGGGAATGGGCAGCGCATGTTTATAATACTTGATGCGATCGCACTGGCATGATCCTACAGAGAGGAAGGCGCAGGGTGGTTCGAAGAGCTCATGCAGTCCCTGTCACGCCAGCAAGGGCAAAGCACAACGTTGAAGTATCACGCGCATGGCAGAACGACGATGCATCGGAGGTTTGCAAAGACTGATCCTCAAAAACGTCGAATCGTCGACGGAGCGAGAGTTCGGGTCCCAAGTTGCCAGCGCTAAAGAGGACGTTGGTCGAATGTCCGCCCACCTCAAGAAATGTGAGCCTGAGATCGAAAGACTCCAGAGTGAACTCGCCACTCTAGGACTCGCCAAGCTTGAAGTTTCTGAGACTTCCCGAGAAGTCATGACGGAGATGGATGAACAAATCATGAGATTAAAGCCACTACTCAAAACCGGCGAGCAGAAGGGAATCGAACTCAAAGAGGACCTGGAAGCCAGTCAGACCCGAGAACGCAACTTGATCCGCGAAATGGGAGAGATAAACGAAACCGTCATCAAAGCGTCCGAGGAACTTTGACAGGACTGCGAATACAAAATTAGTCGGCGCAGAGAATTTCGGCAGGAACCCCCGTTAAAGTGGTAGACGGGCAGTCGAAGCACGACAGCGATTCTGCGCCCCAAGGCTCCATGTTCCATTCTACTACGGCAATAAAGCAATTTTTCTTCGTGGAACCTCGGCAAGCGCTCGCATAGATTAGACTGCCGATGCGGACGTCGAGCGGAATCGGAGGGTACCGGCGGTACAGCACGCAAAGACCAAAGCCACTACTAGAATAGCACAAGCGATCTAAATCTAATGCTACAGGGTCCAAGGGCAGCTTGGCTTTTGGGCAAACGAAAAAGGGGGTGAAACACTGTAAGTATGGGAAAGTATACCGACCGATGTCTAGCCGTTGCTGACTCTGGACCTGATTCAAAGCCATCTTCTCACAATGACACTGCACTAATACATGTAGTTATTCCCCGGCTTCAACTGGGGACCAGAACTGCTGTGGCGTATCTCTCTATATAAAACGATTGCGCATCGCCCTGATGTGAGTGAGCTCACGCCTGTGGTCTTTATCTCTTGGACTGCTGTATGCGACACATCATGACGATGAGTGTTGAGCGAGGAAGATGATCTTCCTGGGCACAGATGGGAAGTATTTAGATGTTGGCTTCCAGCTTGTTAATTGTGTATTTTCCTCTTGGCATTATTTCAAAGAATAGACCTAGATTGGTAGCCATGCTCTGCTAATATGTCCGGATGCGTGTGGTAACGTAAAATGTCGACGTTAGTCGATTGACCTTGTTAGCGCGGAAGGGTCAGTAATGTACCCGACCGGTGTTTTTATCCTTTGCTTGTCGTTTTACAAGCAAGTACACGCAATAATGTATGTTGGCACGACGCCACTTCCTTGGTTCACTGCTCGCACAAACTTGTCCTACAAGCTGCAGAGGCGTCCTTGTCTGCTGCGTAAGCAATACCCTATAACGTATAAACTGACAACAATTAGGGGTCCTAGTGGCTGCGGATATGTCCCTTTTTAGTGAGCTGCAGGGCTGAAAGGCATGAATATTAATACTAAACTATCTCCCTGACAACATCGTTGATTTTAGCCTCCAGACTTGTTGTTCTGTCATTCAAGTGTCTTCATTAGGTGCCTATATCGCGCTCTTCCTTGAAAATACTACCGCCCTCCGGCCTAACTCGATTATCTACCTATTAAGCCCGAGAACTTGTGCTGGTCCCTCCGTTCTGTGGCCGGTTTAGTCTGCTGAGACTTTTAATGTGATGTGAATTCATTGGCTGGTAAAATGTGCCGTGTTCCAAACGTCCCACTTGTAAGTCAATTCCAAGGCGGGCTCACTTATCGAGAGTCTCATGTCCCCGTCATTTCCTGTAGGTCTTATAAGGGCAGCCGTTCCAAGCTGACACAACCTTTCAGGCGTGTGATGACTGGAACTAGCTCCTGGTGGATAGTCAGGGATTAGTTTTTGCGAGCAGAAATATCTGTTGAAGCCCCGTAAGAATTGACACATGGTGCTAGCGCGTCACAATTGGAGGCCAGGGCTAAATATACAAACGGCAAACTATAGATGAAGTGGCACGACAGCGCAAAATGAGAGATATTATTTACGGGCTTTCACTGTCCGTGTCTTCATGTTTCCGCAGGTAGCCCTGCGTCCTAATGCATTCATTAAAATTTGGTGCCGACCAGGTTGTTGCTTTAGAAAAGGTGGTTAATTAAGCTACATTAAGTTCTGTTCATACCCAGTAGAAGACTTAACAATAAAGAACACAATTCTGATGGCCGTGAACCCAGCAGAACCCTTAGCAATAAAGAGCACCATTCTGATCTATGGCCGTAAACCCAGACACCCCAAATGGGTCCGGCACCGTCATATTCGCATCCAAGAATGTCAACGGCGAAGGGCCCCCAGCTTGCGGATTATTCGCAGGATCTAGCGGCTCAAAGCCACTGCTGTTCGCCAGATTGTACGCAAGCGTCACATTGGACGGCAAGTTGGGGCTGCTGTAGAGCGTGCAAGACCTCCTGCCGCTATCGCCCTCCATGAAGGTGTGTTTCCAAACCCAGTTATTACAACTGTCGGATCGTTCCAGGCATTTCGCGGCGCAGTCACAGGCTGTTCTGAAGCCATCCTTAAAGTAGAAGTGTAGCTCAGTGACAACACCAGTCATATCGATGCCTCGGTAGTAGCGGACGCAGCCGCCGGTGGGAGCTTGGAGGGTTGGGAAGCGCGCTGTGGTGATTTGCGCCTTGCAGATGGCCCATTTTTCGTAAATTTTTGAAGTCGGGGAAGATGTCTTCTTCATCTCCGCAGCCAGCATTGGCGCCTCCGAGGGCGGCCAGAGACAGGACAGCGATGACTGTCTTGATGAACATGGTGTGGAGGGGGATAAGACGATGGTGTAGTTGTCGTGTTGATATACTTAAAAAGTCGGAATAAAATGGTAGTTTGACGCACTAGAAAGGAAGGAGACAGTCTCCGGGAGCAGGACGAACTTATATACCTGAGTATTTACGGGGTGACGTTTGGCCTGCGAGATTTCATGTCGAATGTCTCCGAAGATCGAGGTCTATCGTGAGATGGGGATGACAACAACATTCACAGCTGCACATGTTTTGAGGCATAGATACTCCATTCGTTGAAAATATCACATCGACCAAAGTCAGCGCTCAAGGAGTTGATTGGATAATCATCAGATCCGATGCGCGCCAAAAGGAATTGTGGCTTCTCGTGTTGTAATGTCCGATGGCATCGTTCGAGACACTTGCGAACATTTGGCTAGGAATAACATGTCGGCCTGTCCCGGTGTTTGGTGATTCCATGTGGAATGATGCTGGTAACGGTTTTGAGTGTTATGATTCATACTTTAAGGAGAATTCTTCCTGATAAAAAGGGAGGGAAGCTCGCTTGGATCTGGGCATCTATTTACATAGTCGATGCTCGGGCAGATTGTGAGACCTTCATTTGGTGGCGTCATTGCATCGGCATGAGCCGAGTACACCTCAACGGCCCAGCCGGCTATATTCCAGAGAAAAAGGGTCAAAATAGGCAATCTGACATGTATTGAGGAATCTGTCAATGGTTTCTAAACTTCATGTCACAAAAACAACGCGCTCTAATTGAGCAGCATACATACCTCCCTATATTGCGATGAAGCTTAAGTTGCAAGCTTTAGTACTCCGTAATAAGTAAACTAGCTACTAACCTATCAATTGATCCCATTTATGTGGGGTATAGAGGTCTCTAAACTTGAGTCACAAGTTTACCTTTATACATGTAATGCTGTTAGAATACCCTACCTTTCTTAGTTGAGCCCTAGGCCTAAAATATTGGTTACCGCCTAACCATCGGGCTGCTCTCATCTGTTCTTGACATCTAGACCTTTGAGCCCGGCTTGAGATTATGTAGCCATTTTAAAAGTTGCTATTACTCTTCTCCTCCGTCTTTCCGCCAATCCAATCCGCAGGGTTTGCAACCTGATTGACATCGGCCTTCTTCCCTTCAACCTAAGCCGCGCTAAGCTTCTCCCTTGCATCCCGAATAGCCTGGGCTTAGCAAACTCTGGCGAAAATGCCGTCGCCAGTTTATCTTTAGCAAGTTCTACGATTCGCGGACTCGCAACACGCGAGCTTCATTCGACCTCCGGAATTGATTAATAAGGTTGCTGTGCCCAGGTCTTTTTCCTCTAGGACGTTAGTGGTGTAGAGCCTAACTACCAACGTGTATCGGTCAGATAACCCATTCACATGGCGCCAAGTGTGACAAGGGCTTAATAGAGGGCTTAAAGCAAAAGGGCTTAATTTAATGATAATCTTATAGGATATTAAAGGTTCTTAGTTTCCTTTAAGCTAAAAGGTAAGAGGAGATTATCTTATATATATAAAAGAAACGGCTTATACTTAATATACCTTATAATTCTTCTAATCTCTTTATATAATAAAGAGCTTTTAATTCTTACTTAACTTAATTTATATAATATTAGCTCTCTTCTTTTATAAGCTTAATTTTAAGCGGTATAAGGCTATTTATACTCTTTAATTTTAAGGCTTATTAAAATAATTTAACTTATATTATTATAATAAGAACTTTATACTTTTACTTAAAAAGTATTTATAAGGCTTTTAAGTTTAATACCTTTTAATTAATTAATCTTTTCACTTGATTAAGTACTTTATATTATTATTATTAATTTATTAAAAGTTCTTAACTACTTTTACTTAATAATCTTTATTTACCTTAATAGGTAACGCGTTTTATAAGATTTATATAATATTAAAAGCTTTTTAATTATTATTTATATAAAATAGCTTAATTAAAAAGATATAAAAGAAGTTATATTTTTAATACCCTTTAATCTTCTACTTAATTACCTTTTTAACGCGTATAGTTAGCTTTATAGCTAGAATTAATATAGCTAAAAACGTGCCTTTTTATACTTAGCTAAATTTTTCGCTAATCTTATTAATATAAGCCTTATAACTTAGGTAGATTTTCTTATTTTTATAGTCTTTAATAATTTATATTTTAAGGAAAAAGCGCGCTTTACTTTTATTCTTTAAATTATATACTTCTTTTAAGCTATTAATTACGCGATTTACTACTTTCTTATTATTCTTATAATAAGTAAGAATAATAT